TCACATCGCCAAAACGGTCGACCTTGTGCGGTATAGGATTGATAGCGTCTATCCCGAGTAACACTGATTGCAATCGCCGAAGCAATGCAATTATTCTCAAGGAGAGTTGTGATATGTCTTTGAATAATTTTTGTTTGTGTGAGGTGATGATAACTACAAAGTGCCAACTATTATTGCTAGTTTGATGTATGAACTTTGACATTATTAAATATACAATAAACATACTTATAAGAAAATAACTATAAAATTTCAAATTTAATTTATAGATGACCAAATTATTCATTTTTCTTTCTCAGATCAAGTTTATATAAATAAAGAATAAAGTAATTTTGTTCAAACCTCAACAATTTAGATACAATTTAATAAAAAATAATTTGAATTATTTGAAAGTAATTAAATTTTTGTATTAACCATCAATATATGTTTTGAAATACAAAAGTTATATTTATTTACGTTGATATATTATATAAATTAGATTGTTTTCTTTCCTCCTCCCTCTTCAACAAGCAACCACCGTCTCATCTCTTCTTGCTCCTTCATAGTATTTTGATATCTATTAGCTTACTTATAGGTTTCCTTCAAAATATACCATCCCCATAATAATTTTGAACACTTTGTGATACAATTCCTTTTCTTTTTAGTTTTATTTCACCAAATATGGTTACATAGATTGTGAAACAATGTAAAACCTTGAGACTGGTTTAATTGTTTGCTTTTCCCAAGCTTCTTGGGAAAGGAATGGCGTCTTTGATATCAGGAAGTCCGGTCGCAAACAGAAGCATATGTTCCATCTTCATGCTTATTCCAGAATGTTTCACTGTCCCATGCCTCCTTAGATCTAAGTACCACTCGTACTTTTCTGTTGTGAATCCAAAGTCTTTGATCCTCGCATCCAAAATCTCAAACCGTTCTTCGTTTTGGCTCCCCGTGATCACAACACCAACCTGCGAAGAAAGTTGAAGACTTTTGCTGTCAAATTCTACAACTTTGAATTCATAATTTTAGATAGAAGTTCGGTTTGGTTCTCTACTTACCTTTGGTACGACCAAATCAAATGCTGCTACAGTCTTCTTATCATCATTCAACCGTGTGTAAAACGGTTTAACTGCTTTCGGGTAGCTATGTATAATTACTGGACCTTTGTAGATCTCATCAGTTAGGTAACTGCAACATTAAAAGGTGAACATAGAATTTCAGGATCAGATCTTGAAACAGACACTCGATTGCATTTGCCATAATAAAAAACAATACCTGAGATGCTCCGTGGTTAAAGCAACACCCCACTCAGGTTTGGTTTCAAATGTTCTTGTGGTTATCTGTTTTAGAGAATCAGATCATTATGATACAGCAACACATTTAGTAGATAACGAACTATATAGGATTTGAAAGGGCTATTTACCTTTCGTAGAGTACTAATGGCTTCGGTATAGGAGAGTCTCAAAAGAGAATTGGAAGATGTTGCTTCGAGACGTGTGGTGATGGTCTTGTCAACTCGTTTAGATATGAATTTCATGTCTTCATGACGATTTTCCAGAAGGTATTTGCAAAGGAACTTGAAGAATTCATCAGCACAATCCATAGCATCCTGTGATATCCAAACGAAACAAGTTACCATTTGTTCAATAACATCGAAAGGAATTTACCAAAATCAATGTTTTAAGTAGCTTACATCCAATTCAGCGAAAGCCATCTCGGTTTCCACATTCCACATCTCCGCCAAATGCCTTGCACTGTCGATTTTCTCAGCTACGAATCTCGGTCCAAATGTATAAACTTTTCCAAGCGCAGAAGCATAGCTCTCGAGATGAAACCTCCCAGAAACAGTCAGATAAGTGTCGCGACCAAAGAAGTCTTTCGAGAAATCAAGTTTCTCAGGTTTGACCAAAGTTGCTGCCTTTGGTTTTTGTTTCATCTCAAGCTCCGATGCAAGATCGCTCGTTTTCTTCAAGTCGTGTACGGCAGCAACCACAGCTTCTCGGTTACTGTCAGATCTCTTAAGGTGATCAATCAACCTAGTCTTCTCCTTTATCGCAGCCGTTACTGTGTCAACGCTAAATCCATCTTTTTCTTTGACATGCTTCTTCTCCTCTTTATCACCAGCTCTATCTAAAAGAGTTGTGACTCTAAACCTTTCGCCAAATCCAGTGGTTGTGATAACTGGTACTTGAACATACTGGAACCCATTGTATTGAAGGAATGTGTGACTCGCTAAGGTTAGCGCACTGTGTACTCGAGTCACCGAACCAACCTTCACCAACAATAAATCCGAAATCTATATTTGAGCAAAATGCTCTTTCAAGAACAATGAAGAACACAAAACTACCTAAGATCATCTGTTAAATGTCTTGAAACAGAGTTTTACCGTAGTTGTGCGGGGCCTGAATTGAGAGAAGTCTCTAAGCATATGCAGAGGAAGTTGTTTCTTCGAAAGTGGATACTTCTCTGGATCCACTGTTCCTACATGAAGAAGCTTCTCTGCCTCAAGCTCAATCACATACTTTGTAGAAGCAGCCATTGGTTGTCTTAACACACCTTCTGCTACAATACATGTCCCTAAAGCCATAAGCTGAGTTGCTGGAACAGTCGACATTGTAGAATCAACAACAACCTGATAACAAAAACACAAAAATCGGACATTAGCATTTCATCGAACATCTTCTGCGCTAAAATCTTCTTCTACCTGGAGACTGGAGACGGAGGAGCCATCACTGATCAACAAGTATAAAGTATACTCCGGTGGTTGCGGGGCTTTCTGAGCGGCGAGTTCCGATTTATCGAAGATTGGATAAGTCTTTCCACCGCCGCTCAAAACATCGAAAAGTTTTCTGAATATATTCATTTTCGATTGGATCATCTCCGTGCAGCTAATATTCGCCGTCGTAGAAGCTTGATGATTGCCACCGTGTACGGATGCTACAGGCGGCGGTGGAGGAGAATCTTTCTTAACAGCTCTAGAAGACTTAACCCATCCACCGATCACAACCCTTTTTCCGGCCAATCCTGCACCACCGTCGCTACGTTCGAGCAGAGTCTTTAACTCGACCCGTTTCGAATACTTGGATAACGTAATGGGTTTAGTAGAGACATCGTCGTTGTGTTCTTTGTGATGGGCTTTTCCGTGAGAATCCATTTTTGGGTAATATGAAGAAGATTAGATGAAAATGAGAGGGAGATTTGAGTGTAGAGAAGTTGATTGGATTTGAAAAAATCAAAAGCGAAGTGGAGATTATATATAAACATGATTAGAGGAAGTTTAGATTGTTGGAACAAGGAAAGGGATTGTTTTGCTCTGTTGCGGAGAGAAAGAGAGAGAAGACAAGGTTTGGTATTCTTCAAGGTTAGTTTAGATTCGCGGGAAATGTGTGAGAGAATGTTTATTCTTTTAAAAACTTGAATATTTAATTATACTGATAATTGTAGTTTTGAGGCCCAAATGGCCCAATAGTTACTCAGGCTAATTTGCAATAATATGAAATGCATTCATAAAATATGCCGAAAAGAATCTTATGATCTATTTAACACTAATCGTGCAGAGGAATATAGATAGGTGATATCAAATTTACATTTCTTTATTCTTTCTACCAAGTATATCTCATTGTTTTCTAACAATTTTTTGCTAGATATGCGAAAACATATGAAATGTGGTAAAACATAACATATGAAAATGGATTATCTTCATGAAAACAACAAAAACGGTTGACAAAGAAGAAAAAAGATTTCTTCAGAGTGTCTCTATTAATTGTTAGTTAAAGAGTTTTTTTTTTTATTTGGTGTTTTGTTCAATTCCGCGGTGATTTTGTAGACATGTGTTAAAAAAACAATCCGGAAAAAATGTAGTTCATACTTTTCTGATTATTCAATTTTCTTTTTAGAACTTTTCACTTTCATAGTTTCATTTGATTAATTATGATGTCACGTTGTAGAATCGTTAAAAGAATTGGTGAACGGAGTACTAAACGGTTACATTTATCCGAATAGACTGGCCGTGCTCCGGCTCATAATAATTGTTATATATTAAAGAACTAATAGATAATAGCTAAAAACTACTGTGAACAAAAAGATAAACTAAAATATTCTGATCATTTTTGAATGTATTGTGGAACTTATTCGCTTACACATAATGAAAAGGAAAAAAATCAACCGGCCGGTTGTATCGATTGTAATTGGGAAAGTTCTTGTCAGTAAGCAGTTGAAAGAAAGAAAAGAAAAAGGAAGTATGAATGGGGCCAAAGTCACCTGTAAATTGCAATGATGGTTACCACGAGGCTACACAACCTACGGCTGATTAAATCACAATTTGATAATTTAACTTTTCTATATAGAATAATCTTTCGCCAACTAAACGTAGTCTTGAGGTCTAGAATTTGCAGACGAAAGCAACATGTTTGATTAATAGAAAGAAATTATAAATACCCTAACTAGTCTCTATAGGCTATTATCGTAGAGTGGGCAATGAGAGAACAAAATGCCAAATCTGATGGGAAGTTTGTATAAGTGATCAGAAATTGCTAAGTCTTTTACTAAACGTCCAAAAAATCTACGAACTACGAAATTTTAATGTTTATGTTAATTTATATTTTGGAAACTGATGAGATTTAAAAAAAAAAAATTATCATCACCATAACTCAAGAGTATTTTATATAATCAGGTAAGATTAAGCATTTTCTTGATCACTTTGAAGAGTATTTTATATAGTCAAATTAGGTAACGCATATTTCTTGATCACTTTGAGTTAGATCTATCTTAATCTTGATTATTATAATATTGGGATATCGAAATGGAATATTTTCAAAAAGGTTGACCTCTCCTACTCACCATAGGCCTTAATGATGCTCATAATCATTGCCTCTTCTTCAATGATTAAAAGCTCTTTAAAATTCCGAGCTTTACACATCATCTATCATCACTCAACACACTTCTTCTTACTTATATAAATCCATGTTCAAGAACTTGCAAATCAGAAACTCAAAAATTGAAAACTAAATACAAAAAAAGGAAACATGGTAAGAAGAAACGCAGTTCATGCCATTTCAAGTTTACCGTCGCGGTTGTGGTGGCCACAGCAACGGAGGAAAGGAAAACGGAACGTCGTGCGGTTAGGAAACCGGCGACGAGGGTTCTTGGTGGGGCCGCCGCGGACGGTGGTGCAGAGATGGAGGATGAACATCGGAAAACCTATGAAGATAATGAGAAATATTATTTTGGGGATAATCTCAAACGGTGGAAATGTTAAGGTCTTAGATGCTTATCTTTGGTCTTTACCAATATTACGTCCTCAATTGTTTCCATTATGTTGATTGGAACTTATAATACCAAATTATAATTGTAATATTTGTCTTGCTATTTTTTCTGTGTGCATGTAAATAAATGGCTTCATAATAAAGCCTCTAATTATTCTTGCTAGCATATTTTTGTTTATTGAGTTGTGATATGTCTTGAATATTTTTTGTTCGTGTGTGCGGTGATATGATTACTACAAAGTGAAAACTATTATGCTAGTTAGATGTATGAACTATGACATTACTGAAAATACATTAAACATATTTATAAGAAAATAATTAGAATTTTTTTTTTAATTTCTAGTTGACCAACTAATTCATTTTTCTTTCTCAAATCTAAGAACAAATTAGTTTATGTCTATAAAGAAGAATAAAGTAAGTTTGTTCTCGTACTACATTGTTTTTTTGAAGTTTGTTCAAACTTCAACAATTTAGATACGATTTAATAAAAATATTTTGAATTATCTGAAATAATGAAAATTTTTGTATTAACTTTAAAAATATGTTAGAAGTATACAAAAGCTATATTTATTTACGTTTGATAGATCACAAATTCTAATAATACTTTAAATTAGAACAAAATATTTCG